ACACGCGGAGCAGAAAGAACGATAAAGAAGTGCTTACAGAAACTGGCCAATTAATATTACATGAAGGCAAGGTGGTTAAGATGGGCTGATAGCTCGAAGCAATCTTCTGGAAGCCTCTACACAACAGTGGATGCCTTAATAGAAGACAAAATACTACGTGAAAGGCTAACAAATCTGATGACTAGATAGAATTAACAAAGATGAAATAGAGCCGCAACAGGAAGAATAATGATTAATGTGGCAAAAGATCAACAAGAATTGTAATGCTAACAGAAAATAATAATAATATGTTAGAAAAGACTTTCGAAACCATTTAAAGTACATATAAGTAGCAAATATTTCAGATAAAGTCTAAAATTACACACCTTTAACTTTGATTTTTTGTAGGTGGTTAAGCACGGTTTTACAAGATTTTAGGAAACTTTGTTGTAATATTTGAAAACGTTATTATTTCATAAATCTTTTGCCTGAAAATAATGGATTAATTAATTATATTTTACAATGTTTTGGAGCATATTTTTAAAAGTATTAAAAACCAGTAGTTTTAACTACATAGAACAATCCTTACGCATTTATAGGTTAGGGATATCAATTTACTTTCAAAACTCTCTCTGTATATAATAAAGCTCCAAGAATGGCGTTATTTGGTTGAATAGACTAATTGAGTTCATTCTATACTTGTTAATCCGGCAATGGTCATGTTTTAACTGCTCCAGATAAAGTTTATTTCACAAACGTGCCTACCATTTCCCTGTTAAGCTCATTAGCAGTGGTGTACAGAAGGAGGTTTCGTGGTGTAAGTTGTGCCATCGAAATTTCTGAGGGAGGTATATTTTGCCATGATTTGAATTTTTGAAGTGGGCACATTTTGACTGGGTGATAAATTTTTGGGATTAAAAGTGTCAAACCAGTATTGTATAATATCTACGATATTTTTTAACTTTATTTTTTTTTTTTACCCAAACCTGTCAGAAGTACCGATAATTAGTGAATACTAATAGTTGCTTGATCGGCGTGAGGGAAAGGAGTGCCTAGCGGCATCCCTTCTTGACTTGAGTATATTTTTAGGTGAGGAAATCCCTCATCCAGCTTCTTTTGAGCCTCCAAAGTGTGTTTTCGAGCATGTTAATCGAGGCCATGTCTTATATTTTTTGTAGTGTGTCTTTATGTAAAGTAATGTTTTGGAGCTTTTTTATTATAGTTCTAAAAGTGTTTTAATGAAAGGATTGCATTTTCCGTATGTGGGTCGTTTTGACTGTTCCGTATATTTGAGAAGCGTAAGTCCATATAGGCTTTAGTAAATAAATGTAGATGTTCAGTTTCTGTTTTGATTTTAATTTTGGGTTCTTGAAAGAAGTTAGTGTAATTGTCGTAGTCTGAGAGTTTTCCTTTTTTTTGTTGATATGTGGGCCCCATGTTATTCTTCTGTCGAATGTCAGTCCAAGGTATTTGATCTGTTTGCGGAATTTCAGCAAGATAAATAGGAAATATGCAAAAAATGAACTTTTTGGAAATCCTCAAAATCGTAATTCGGAAATTCATTATACGGAATTCAAACGAATATATCGAACAAATTATTCATTTTTACTGGTTTACTTTGCTTTGGGTGTTATGTATCGTGTACGATTTTTTAAATTCTACTTTCGCTTGCACTGAATTTAAGAAGAGAAAAGCAATAAAATGCCTTGGAGGAAGGAGAGGGGAACAATCCTGCTTCTTAGAGTAGTTAACAGGCTTTTAAACTGACAATATTAAGTTGAACGGTTTAACTAAAAAATTATCATTATTTATAATTGTTAGCTAATCTCTAATTTCGATTCGACCTATCGATTACAACAGTATCTCCTATTCTACAGTAGAAATATATATCTGTTCTCCAACTGTAACAAAGTACTCTTCCACTTGATGGCGCTTCGATCTCTAGCAACTGGTAACATTTGTATCCGATCCCCTTGAAGCATTCTTCAAAGTCTTCTGAACTGTTACTGTGCCAGGTACTTTTTTCCTGTAGAATATTAGTTCGAAAATAATTTCCGATGACATTCTTTTAAATGGTCAATTGGATATAGTTTGGTTCTTATTATTTACGCACAGAGTGTTCCAAGAGAAAATGTTATTAATTAGGGTTAGCGTAGTCTAAAAAAAAAATGAATTTGAGTGCTGCCAACAAACAATATTCATTATAGGCCCCTCTTCCAACATTTTTATTGAGGAAGCGATCCCCTCCTCCCCCTTTCCGAAATCTGCACCTATGGTTACACTGAAAAATGAACTTTTTGGAAATCCTCAAAATCGTAATTCGGAAATTCATTATACGGAATTCAAACGAATATATCGAACAAATTATTCATTTTTACTGGTTTACTTTGCTTTGGGTGTTATTATCGTCCGATGAATCGTTTTTTTCCAGCAAATATGGAACATGGAGACCAAAACGAATGAAATGTTCAGTTGCTTTTGAGAATTTTTTATATAGGAAAAAAACAGTGTTTTCTTGGAAAGCTCTTTATAATATCATTTCTCAACATCGGTTTGAGATCAGATGGGTGCGGTTGTTTGCACTGAACCATATTTTTGTATACTATGCCTCCTTTATTACTAATATATTCTCCCCGGGACACCCGGTGTAATTTGTTACTCAAAATCATTAGGATCTACTGTTTACCCTTAACAAAAACTATCCTTTTATTTTTCGCTAGAAATCGGCGTAAAAAGATCTCCGAGATACTCGTATATAAAATATCTTGTCTGATAGATCATGACATTTTTCCAACTTCAAGTGTTGCACGACTTCCAAATAACTGAAAATATCGTTTACGCTTAAATTATGAGAATGATAAATAGTTAGAATTTACAGACTGGAGATGTTTTATCAGTTTCTATTTTTTTCCATCACCATTTCCACGTACTTTCCATCTTTTTCTCCTTGTCTTCTTTATATACTTTCGTCAATATGTTATATTTCTGATTATATAACTCTAATAAGGACCCACAAGCTTAGGTCAAAACGTTGGCAATCATTATAAAACATATCTAGACTCACTACATACAAAGCCTCACAATTTTAAAATAACAGTCAAAAAATCAGTGGAGAATTCATGAATATTCTGATGGGGGCGTAGTTGTGAAACAGGTTAAAGCCATTTAACAAAAGTATATATATATATATATATATATATATATATATATATATATATACAAAAATTAATTCTTTAATACAACTCACTTTTCAATTAAAATAATAACAATAAAAGTGACGGTTGTGTTGTTCTTTTTTTCGACATAATATTTTTTTCTCACTGTTCTGGATCCGTTAGTGCAACAAATATATCCTTTTAATTTTTTATTTAATATTTTAAAATATATCTTGTTCATATAAACTCACAACTTTTTTCTCTATTTTTTTTTTGACGTAAATAGTTAATTATATGCACTTGGTTTTGAAAAAAACAAGATCATATAACTACAAAATTGTTTTAATTGTATTTTTATATAATGTAATAATATTATAATATAATATAAAGAATATTATATATTCTTCATCGTTTTTATTGTTTTCATAAAAGAAAAAAAGAAAAAAGAATGAAGAAGAGAATAAAAATAAAATTCCTATTGACATCTCATCAAGTTGAATGGCTTGAATATATGTTGAAGGAAACAGAAAGTCCCATAAACATAGCAGAGGAAAGTTGCATTAATCAGATGATTAGCTATTAGATAAAATGAAAAAAATAAAAATACGCATAAATAAAATATAGTAATATAAAAATGTGTTATATTAAATAAAATTACTCCGTGCAGAGTACCCGTGCATCCACTGAGTTTTGTTAGGTTCTGATGTTACGTACACTTCCGTGTTTTTTCTTTTGTATTTATTAATTTGTACTTTTTTAAAATTAAATTTAATTAACACATTTTTGTATTATTATGTTTCATGCATACGTAATTTCATTTTATTTTTTCCTTTTATCTCTGCTAATCGTTCAATATAACCTTCCACCGCTTGGTTAATAGGACCTTCTGTTTCCTTCAGTACTTACTAATTACACATTTGGATGGCTTGGTGAAATGGCTATAGCAAATGTTTTTTTTTGTTTTTTTTTCATTCTGTATTTATAATATGTATTTTTTATGCAAAAATACACAATAAAAAATTGAGATACCGTTATGAATATTATTTAGAAATCTTTTATTTATTTTTTTTAATTCGTCATTGTGTGAACTAGTGTGAATGTGATCTCAGAACACTATTATAAATGTCGAAGAGAAGAATAGTTGGGGTGATCAGTCAAATAAGAAGGCAAAAATAAATGATAATATTTATTTTGACATTTGCCGACGTTTCGACCTGAAGTTGAGGCCTTCATCATGGCTGCTACTTCTCCAACAACTTTTCTGCGAGCAGCGCTGATGAAGGGCAAATGTCAACGTCGGCAAATGTCAAAATAAATACCTATTTTATTACATTTATTTTTGTCTTCTTATTTGACTGATCACCCCAACTATTCTTCTCTTCATTATTCACGACAGTCAACCATTTACCCACTATTATAAATGTCCCTCAGACAGATTGTAATCTTTTTTAATAAATAAGTTATTATACGAAAAAAAAATCCTTCATTATATATTCTACTACCTTATTTGAATACGTGGAAAGTAAAATGAAAGAGTAATTGAACTATAAACTGTTTGGAATTAATTTTATTTACAACTGTAAATTCTCGTTAGGAGGATCTTCTTCCGGAAAATAGATTTTTTTCCCCACTCCCTCTACCCTAATAATTTATCCTCGGTGGAGATTACGGCCTCCATTACTACAACGATAGTAGCGAGACAATCGGAGCGGCTAAGAAGATGGGACGGGGGAGGTAGGGGGGGGGGCGTGAAATCGATAGCTGGGGAGAGAAAGAGAGGGAGATAGACACTCGGCAGTCCCCGCCTGACAGCGGCGAAGAGCACCGACAGCATTCCGTGTCCTCCGACCTTCCAGTAGGTCCAGGATGGCCCTCGACGAAGAGCCCAAGCGGAACGGGCGGACCTCCTTCTGCATCGAGTCCTTGCTGTCCGACTCCAGGGCTAGCTCCCAGGGCAGCATCAGTCCGGGGTCCGAGCCTCCTCCTCCTGCGGCCTTCCAGCCGCAGTCCGCCTTCCAGCCCCCGATCTACAAGAAGCAGAGTTCTCTGCAGCAGCTACAGCTGGAGTGGCTCGCCACCACCAGGATGCTATATGCCGCCCCCAGGCTACACCTACCTGGTGAGTACTTATCAATCATTACTATAAAAGGGGTCAGGTGTATAAAAAAACAGTATAAATCAATTTTATTTTGGTGTCACATGTAGTCTAGAAAAAGCAGAATCGAATTGCCTAAATGTTCTAGGACAAAAATAGTCCGATCAGCTAGTTTTTTTCTAAACTAAACAGGACTACCAACAACCAGTGAATGTGTCATCGGGATGAAGAATATTGAGTAAGGCATTACTTGTCGTGAGGGAAAGGAGTGTCCAGAGACATCTCTTCCTATCTTTATATTAATATTTATAGTTTACGAAAGAGATTTTTTAAAAACAATTTAAGCGCTGGAATCGTAAGAAAACCTGTCTAAAAACAAATTATCGGAGCGTTGTTAGCAAAAGAAATGTTCATCATTTCATCCTCTTTGAAATGAGCTATTATTCAAAAATTGTATCTTAATGTGACGCCGTTTTAAAGTGGCGAAAAAGGGAGAAAATAGTGTCCATAACAAAACGATAACGAGTTTTATTGAAGTGCATTAAAATATCTCAAAAACTAAAAATTGGACCTGCATACTGTAAGCGAGGAGATTGTTCAGCATTTCATACTATTTATAATGAGCTATTATTTATAATTTATATTTCATATTATTAATCTAGCCTTGTTGATATTTTCACTTATATCGTGTGGTCTAAAGCACGCGTCTTAGATTTTTACCTTCTTCTTTTTTTTTAATTTTCCCTTTCCGACTCTTTAACTGGGGATCATATCAAAATAAGTTTTTGAATAATAGCTCATTACAAAGAGGATGAAATGCTGAAAATTTCCTTCGTTTACTGTATGCAGGTCCATTCGATTTAATGATATTATCGAGAGTATTAAACAAAATCGTTACTCTTTTGTCAGTCGTACAAATCAATCCTGCTTTTAAAATCGTTTAAAATAAAAAATGTTAATTATCTGAAACAGAAATGAATCGAAGCAGTTTTATGAAAATGTATAGATGCGAATGAGAATATTTAAATATCTGGTGTGTCCATTCACACGACTTTCCTACCTATTTCGGAGTAAGTTTTTATATTTTTACATATGTTCATGAAGAAACGAAAAAGAATTGAACTAGATTTATTTTTCCTGAAAATTGATCAAAGGAAAGATTTCAGTACGATTTATTTGATGAACTAAAGCAATGTAAACCGGCTGGAGGTAGATCAGTGTAAAAATTTCAATACTCACTAATATTGCTGATCAAAATTTTTTTGCCATGGCATAGTATTGTCAAACAATAATTTCTGTTATAATTCGAGGAAATAGTGAAGATTCTGTGATGCGGGCAACAGATTTTCTTACTTCCACTTTGTCATCTTTATTCTCTTATTCATCCTTTTCTGACACCAGGATAAGAATTCGTAATCTTACATTGGAAATTGAACAGCTGTAACTTCGTTAAAAGTTGTTCAAAATGAACGATTTTTATATGGATTTGTAGGGAATTTCATTACTTTCATTCATTACACGTGGCTCTGAAATACATAGATCTGTAGAAAACCGCATATCGGAAATGATGATATACAACCGATTTATTTTTTGTGCTAAAAAAAAAAAAATAAACGACGTTGTATTCTACACCGACTACAGGATAAATAAACACCAACAAGGCGGGATTAATAATATGAAGCTTAATTTTTTTTGTTGTATATCAACGAAATAATAACAGATAATATACACAATTATAATTGTAATAAACTATTTTTTGTTCTATATTCAATAAGTAATAACATTTACAATATAAATAATTATAATTATGTATAAATTACTTCGATAAACTATGCTTTAACTCAAAATGAAACAATATGTTTATGATAATTAAAATATGCGATGAATAGTTGTTTGCTAAATATCTAACAAAAGCTCCTTCAAATATATCCTAATCTAATGTTGATTTAAAAAAATCAACTGAAGCTTCTTTTGAGAAATTAACATTGAAATCGTCACTCAAAATCATTGGTAATTTATAAAGGTTTCGTTTGAGAACAACAGATCCTTCTTCGTTGTAGATTAGTAAATTTTCATGGATGAATTCGATAATATTCCTTATACTTTGATTAGGTGAGATGTAAATTCTACTTTACATTTCGCTATACAAAGTTCTCTGATTGATGATATATCAACTCCACATCATTGTGAATTATGAAATACAACATCCATCTGTGAAATTACAAAAGTTGACCTGTCTCTGTTATTTACTTCTGCTTATCGGTTTTTAAATTCTCCATGATATTAAAATTTTGTGATAGTTGATTCCAAATGTTAAAAACTGTCGTTATAATTTGGTTCTTTTTGAAAACTTCTTTAGGGACGTTTTGCACTTTTTTGTGGAGAGTAAATTAGATTAATTAGGCTGGAGTCGATGAATTGAAATGTTTTTGCATATGGATTAAAATATATCAGAAACTAAAATTTGGACCTGCATACTGAAAGCGAGGGAAATGTTCATTATTTCATCCTTTTTGTAATGACGTATTATTCAAAATTATATCTTAACGCTACGGCGAAAAGGGAAAAAAGTTTGTCGAAAACAAAATGATGACGAGTTTTATTGAAGATATGGATTAAAATATCTCAGAAACTAAAAATAGGACCTGCATACTGTGAGCGAGAGAAATGTTCAGCATTTCATCCTCTTTGTAATGAGCTATTATTTATAGTTGATATTTTATATAATTAATCTTGCCTTGTTGATGTCTTCATTTCTATCATGTGGTTTAAAGTACACGCCTTAGTTTTTTTTTCTTTCTTCTTTTTTTTTTCTTTTCCCTTTCCGACTCTAACTCGTGATCATGTCAAAATACATTTTTGAATGATAGCTCATTACAAAGAGGATGAAATGCTGAAAATTTCCTTCGGTTACTGTATGCAGATCCGATTTTTAGTTTCTAAGATATTTTTATCCAAATATAATAATTAGTCGACTCGAGCAAACCGTACTCAAATGAGCGTTACATAGCCGATCATGACGGCTCTTTCTCATGTGATACTCACAAAATAAACTGCTAAGCGCGCCAAAACATGCCCAAAGCTAAGAACATGTGGATAGTATCACAATAGGTGAGAATGATATTTGAATGAATGAAAATGTGTTTATTGACATAAATAGATAAAAAATATATAATAAATTACATTTTAGAACACAGACACCGTCTATCGAGGTCTGTCCATTATTCCTACAAAATATATTTCATTTTATATCCTAAATACATTAACTGAGAAATAAAATGTTTACTAATGTACATACTATAACAAATAATATAATAACAACAAATAAATATAATATATCATAAATAAACAAGGCGTTCCACTAATCTTTTACTTATTAATTGGGCTCTTAGCAATTTGGCTTGCTTTATATAATTAACTAGCTCTTTCCAATATAATAAATATATTTATTTATAGTTAACCCTTCAGTTAACTAAATATTTCTTTAGGAGAACAGGTTCGTTGGCCAAAATATTTTTCTCTGATTTTACTATAGATATGATAACTGCTATTGCAATGCCCCAGGCTAAGTATTGATAGGGAAAAATACCTAGGAGATTATATTGTCCAAAACAATAAACAATTATCTTTAGAAAATCTTCTAAATATTGATAGAGCGGACAAACTCAGTAACGTCTGTTTCTTTTTGTTAAAGGCTATATATAGGTATTTAGAGTAAGGACTATATTATATTATTTTAGGAATAACCATTTATTTATTTATATGTATATGGCTTTGGGAAAAACTAGTGATGTTATTGAATCATTAATTAATTTTCGGATATACACTTTTTTATATTGTTTTGGGTTTTAGTAATAATTATGTATTTGTTTATTTATTCTATTTACTTATTGGGAATAAATAATATATGTATATCTATATTTATATATATATATGTATATTGATTTTTGTAGGAAAGAACAATCTACAGTCATGGTCATAGAAATTGCATGGCTCAGTAACAATTTTATTAATTTTTGTTTATTTACCTGATTGCTATCTGCAAGATATTCGGGTACTTCTTTGCCAGGTTTGAAATGATCCATTCATATCCATATCATATCATGTATCATCTTTTTTTTTCTCCTCTCATTACCTTTCTTTAGCTCCACGGTGCATTTTTTTTTTGTTGTTTCAAAACTATGTCTACCGTTGATTGGTGGTACCTTATCCTCTTTGTTATTTCCCGTGAAGATTCCTTCACTTCCTGTATCGTCACAATTTTAATATTTTCTGAAGAGGACAGTTTTTTGAAACTGGTCATAATTACAGATTTTATCGTGGCATTAGTTAAAACTGAACTAAGAAACCCTGTTTAAGATTTCAAAAACAAAATTATTCAATGGAATCAACGTTATTAACGTGAGAATAAAAAAAAAAGAGGTGATTCAATTTCTATGACCACGACTTTATGTCCAGTTATTTAATTTTTTTTTTTTTTTTTTTTTTTTATAAATGAAGCAAAAATGTGTAACATTTTAATATATCTCTGTCTACTTTGAATATATTTAATGTGTAATTATTGTTTCTGAAAATAAGTTTTATTAATTTTCTTTGATAAGTACCTATTACTATGCTTGTCACTTTTCTTAATCGATTTTAGTTTACAAATTTTATTTATTCATGTAGCTTATTTATTATCGATTTTAATTTTTTTCTCCTCAGATTATTAGAAGAAGGGGGGGGAGGGGAGGGGACGAAACGATATTCTCCCCCCCTCGGAAGTGTTGTTGAAAACAAAAAGTCAACATTTATTTGGTAAAATAAATCACTTAATTGGCGTGAATATTTCAGATAAAATATTCTCTTAGTTTTTTTGTTTACATTCATATTTTATAAATATACCTTTCGTATAATTGAAAAATAAATATTATCTTATTTTACAATATAATATTCCTTATAATTAATATTTTTACTTTCACTTGCCTATTTATGAAATATTTAGTAAGGGACAGTATTGCAATCGTGAAAATTTTCGAATCCGA